ATCATGACGGTCTTTGCCCGGCTGCCAACGCCCCCAGATGACGAGCTACCCGCGCCGCAGAAGCCCAACAAGCAGGAGATGGCCAAGAATTTGGCTCACAGGTGTATCACATTCCAGAACGCACACCTCGACGCGCCTGCTATTGGGAATGAACGCTGTCGTTCATATGTGGATATGGTGGCGCCGTGCATCAGCAGGAGGATACTGACTGGGGAAGGCTATGCTATCGTGGAACCCTTCGACTGGGACTTTGACCATCCGGAGGGCCGCCATCGCGAAGAGCCCAGCATGGGATGCACTGCGCAGTGCCGGGCGTCTTCGCGGGGCGCTGAAGTTGAACCGCTCAGTCAGTTCAAAGCTGCCACGGAACAGGAAATGAGGATCGTTTGCCGCCGGCGGAATTCCTGTGGGTCCGAGGCCGCGAGCCCGCGAAGCGAGGGCCCAGGCGCCGCCCGACCGCGCCAGAACTGGCGCCTCCTCGCGGGCGCAGTCTGCCAGAGGAGAAGAGAGGCCGAATTCCATTGGGCCTGGGGGCCGCCCTGCGGCAGCAAGAATGTCGGGCGACGCCGAGGGCGAGGGCAAGGTGGCCGAGAATGACGGTAGGGGAGCTGAGAGGCCATGCAGTCGCGCGCCAGATGTTCAAAAGGAACCCAGGCGACGGCGAGCTGAGGACCCGACCCAGAGGGAGACGTGCTCACGCACAGGGGCCGCCTCTGCAGGCTCCGCCGCGGCCGCGAGACCGCCGGCTGCGAGAGACTTCCGACTGGGCGCGCCCTGGCGCGATAAGGCTGGCTTTTCGCGGCACCGCGCGGACAAGGCCCTTTCCGTGGCACGCGTGCGCCGACAGTGAGCAGCAGAATGCGGAGTCCTCTCCCCCGCGGCTGGCAAGCGCCTGGAACTGGCGGTCGTCTTGAAGCTGGAGCTCAGGCAACTAGCGCAGTGACGACAGCTGGAGCCGCGACGACTACAGTTGGGGTCGAGGGGTATAGAAAAGGGAGGATCTGCTGCTCTGCCGCAGGTTCCTCCTCGAGGCGATAATTGGCGTTTCAAGCGCTTCCAGAACGCATGAGGTGAGCCGCCTGGCACTGACGCGCCATGCGCTGAGTGCCCCAGAGCGCTGCGAGCCAGGTGGCGGGAGTGCTGCCTGCCGGGCGCGGCGCGACGGGCCGCCTTATAGGCAAATTTGGGGCGTTGGCAAATCGTCAACGCTCGCCCGCGCGATGGGAGCTCGCCGGGGAGGCCGCGGGGGGGGCTGATTTAGTCGCACCCCTGCCATGATTCAGCTTCATTTGCTTAACTTTACTGCAGCTGTTCTGGCTGCGTTCGCAAGAGGGGGCGCCCGCCCGCGCGCCCGCTGGCCGGCCCGGCCCTCCTCCGAATGCTGCGATCATTGCTATAGCTCACCGGCGCAATAGTACACCGCGCCATGGTCGCAAGGAGTACGTCGCCAATGCGCCGCTTGGATAAGCGCGGGAAAATACGGCAATAAGAAGATCATCGCGAATAACAGACACACTCTTTGCCGTTTAATCGGGCTGCGGAGGCCCCGCACCTGACGGCGAATTTGCAAAACGCTGCGTTCAAGGGGAGGGGCTCCCATTCGATTGCGATTTGAATTACCTCGGGTTGGTGAGCTTGGAAAGATTTGGGTGGCCGCAGGGACATAGGGGAGAGATTCGAGCGGCAAACCGTATCGCGAGGGCATCCTGGAACGATCTCCCCGCGACTCCCTCCCGCGCGCGCCGAAAGGGTCGGCGGGCAATTTTGAGCAGGACCGCTCCGCAAACACTACAGTTGACGTACCGAAGGCCTCTGGCACGGAGGCATTCGCGAATAGCGTTCAACGAGCTGAACTCCATCGGACCTGTTTTGGACTGCGCCAAGGCTTCGTGCACTTCGCAACACGGGCTCGACTGGTGAGCCCGTTGCAATCCATACAAACGGCCGCCCAAATCCCAACCCCCCCAACCCCAGCCTCGTTTGCGCCATAGCGGGGTCTTCCTCTGCGCCTCTACCCCCGCGCGGCCCTTTTCATATGAAAGAATTGTCATTTGTCGTACCCGTGGCGGTTTCGCTCCGCGATTGGTGGGGGGATCTCGTTTCGCGACTATGTTGGCGCCCCGTTGCGCGACTGGGCACTGCTCGCGCGGGCGGGTCTTCCGCGCGGGGGTGGTGCAACTGCGACGCATCTGCGGGGGTTATCTTGGGTGGCGCCCCGCCCAATAAGAAAAACATCAAATCGTGGGCCCCATGGGCAGGAACCATAACTGGGGGGGAGCGCCGAACAGCCTCGGCAAGGATAGTTTCTCTTTTTTTTGTGATTGCGATGTGCCCTTTCAGGGTCCTGCAGGGCCTTTCGGAGGCACTGCAGGAGGTTTTCTGATTTGTGCTACGCGTAGTACGAAGGATACATTACATAACTCTTCCGTGCGTCGCATGGAGGTGGGGAAGCTTCACTTCGCCCGCTTCGTGTTTCGTCCGGCGGTCCGCTGAACGTTCCGACCAACAGTCGCTCGGGCTTGGCGTTTATCGAATGCGGCGTTCGCTCCATGGGGAAGAGGAGGAGGAAGAACATGAGGAGGGGAACGAGGTGCAGTCGCAGGAGGCGGATGTTGAGGGGATGATGATGAGGTTGCGAAGTCGGAGGCGGAGGAGCAAGAGGGGGACAAGAGCAAGCCCAGGATGCGTCAACGAAGCTGCACTACACACTCCCGTCCCAAGCCCCCTCCCCATGAAACCTTGGAAGCCGTCATTCTCACTGTAGGAAACGCCCTTGGAAGTACACCGCATTGGTATTCATGCAAGGACCCCGTGGTGAAAAGAGTTGTCTTGCACCCTTCAGAGCGATAAGGAGTGCGAATACATAGGTCGTACAATCCGACGGGATGTCCAAGAAGAGGCTCAGTACGAAAGGGACCGCCCGCATCCGTGTACTTGTTACACAGAGTATGGCCAGTGGGTTCAAGGGCATCTCAAGCGATCACTCCATTTTGAAAAAGGCCTGTCCTCCATCCGTGCAGGTGCTACATGGCTTCATGTTTCTAGCAGCTAAGTTGGGAAGTCTTAAGCGAGAGACTCATTCGAGAAAGAACCGTTATCCAGCTGTCCTTGGAAGCGTTCTTGATTGTTAAGATAAATTGCGCGGCGCTGAGACGTGAGACCCATGTTGACATCGAAACGCCGTCCATCCACGTAATTGCTGCAAGCTTTGAAGACGAAGATGCGTAGCACCACTGCGAGGGGTCCATTTTGGCACGAACCGCCCTCCACCCGTATATTTCTTGTAAGTATGTATGGCGAATGTGCGCGACGCCAAGGCGAACGCTCCATGTATAAAGCTATCGCCCTCCATCATTTTAGTTGTTGGGGATTCCGAGCTTCAGGGTCATACGTTGTGAGGATGTATCAGACGAAACACCCGGCCCGCCCAACCAGGTCTGGTGATGTGACAAGGAGAAGAGAGTAGGCATGATAGGGGGCGATGCGCATGAGTGAGTGAGGAGGAGGAGGAGGAGTAGGAGAAGGAGGAGGATGAGAAGAAGGGGGAGGCGGAGGAGGAGGACCCTGGGAATTCCCCATCTGCGACGGTATTGCTAAAGGGGGCGGTCTTTACTCTGGCTCAGTGATGGCGGGAATGTTGTTGCAGCAGGGTGTCGACGACATTTCTCCCCAAACAATGCTGGCACTATGGTTTTCCCAGTTGCGCGTGAAGTAACTGTTCAGTGTTCCACACAGCTTCACGTTTGGAGTCCCAACATTGGGTTCCGCAGCCAATGGGCTCCACATGCAGGGGGGTTCACATGCAACGCACTGAGTGCCACACTTGCTGCCTGAAAGAACTGTTTGGTGTCCACGCGCTGGCATCCTGATGTCGTGAATGCCATGAAGTCGACGAGAGGCGACCTCCTGGAGGGACTTGGAGGAAGAGAGAGAAAGATGGGGAGCGAGAGTAGGACGGAGAGGATGAGGATGGCGTGGGGGGCCAGTCGCGAGACATCCCACATCCTACCTAGCGGAGGAGGAGGCGGAGGATGAGTATAAAGTTGATGACGAAAGCAGTTCCAGATGAAGAATGGACGGTGATTATTTGCACAAATCCCTGCTGAGGGGCTAGCTTGGCTGTGATCGCTGCCGTTCAAAAAGCTCGTACATCCGAGGATTGTTGAATCGATACTGGTGGATAGTGGGGTGGTAGGGTTCCAGCTGCTGTACTCGCTGTCGACTAATGTGTCCGGCTTGTCTCTCCCGCTCACGGGATGTACAGCACTCCTTGGAGAATGCTACTCCAAGCGTGTTGCAGACTATCGTTTCATCCTGTTATACAGGGCGTTGTACGCAGTGACAGCGCTACTTCTTGTGTTTCACATGTCATCGTATCTCGCACTTCTTTTTCGCCGCTCGTTCTCGTCCATTTCCCTCGGCATTTGAGTCTGGGATCGCCTAAGCTTTTCACTCTGTCCTGTACTGATTCAGCTTCTGTGAATCGAGGCCTTCGAGGCTCGCTACATGGCGCTCTCACTGAACAGTCTCGCTGGTAGAAGTTGAAATTGGAGCTGCGTTCGTAAAATGCAGCCTGCGTAACCTCTAGCAGTGGTTGCATTCGAGCGGGCCATGAATACCCATTATGTGGTTGCACCCTTCCAATCGTGCGGACAGCATATTTCACTCGTCGGTTGCTTGCTGTGTCAATGTTGGCGTTATTATTGCCTACGTCGTTCCCCGCAGTCTGCCCCCTCCTCGCAATTGCATGCAGCCTTGGGGAGCCAAGTTACGGCACAGACTTGCCATCTTGGGTCGACGGTCACAAGGGAAGGGAGAAGAGAGAAGGATTCGCCCCTCTTGCTCTCCCTCCCCTCCTTCCTGATCCTGTACCTTCTCCGCCTCCATCTCCTCCAGGAGGGGCGGCTGGGGTGGGTGCCCTTTCTTGGCTTCCAGTGGGGTGCCAATATTTGTCCGCACCCGCGATCTCCTCTCAGTCTTGAGGTGTGTGCAAGTGCGCGATGACTGCAAGCGCCAACTCTTTACTTGTCGGGCTGCTTCAGGTCGTCGGGCAGCGACCTTTCAAGATCCTATCTTCGAGCGTGCTGAGCGACGGCTTGTGCGAGGCGGAGGTTCAGTACTTCGACCTCGAGGCCTCCCAGAGCTTGCAAACGTGTTGTCCGCCGATGCCCCGTCCTCTCGCTGTCCGACCCTCTCCCAGGGCCACTCGGCTCATGCATGCCGATGCGGACGAGTTTCTCGTTGAGGGTGTGGGGCCCTGAGATCCGAGCGCCCCGTGTTTTTCACACCGGGCGTTTCCGCGCCAATTCGAGCCCGAGGGCCTTTGTAGACTGATCTGGCCCGGGAAAGGCCGCTGAGGGTTGGAGTCTTAGAGCCTGGTCCCCATTTTCCACGATGCTGGATGTGTTCGAGACGTCAGATCGCAAGGGGGGTAAGACTTGGGGCGCTCGGTTTGCAAAGTGGAGGAAGCGCAAACATAGAGGTGCATGGAGTAGCGAAGAGTCCCGTTTCCACACGAAGCCGAAGTGTTCCGTCGCCAAACGACGCGGTTATGGTGCCGTGTTTCGAGGGGTCTTTTCCCAGAGACATTCGCGTGCCACCGACAGAGTGGTCTTCCGACCCGACCACAAGCTCCTGCGCGCTTCTGCGGCACCAGCCCAACAATTGAGTCCTGCGTTTGCAAGCCGCTTTCTCTTGTGGGCCGCAATGCATGGTTACGAGAGAGAGCGCCGCAGTAGTTGCCTCGACCGTTTCCGAGACCGAGGCCGCGGCGTGATTTGCATCTTGGGTGGTGCAGGAGGAAGGGGAAGATAAGGAGGAGAAAGAGGAGGAGGAGGAGGAGGAGGACGACGACGACGACGAGTAGGAGGAGGTCGAGGAGGACGAGGGGGTCGACGAGGAGGCGGAGGAGCTGGAGCTGGAGCTGGAGCTGGAAGAGGAGGAGGAGGAGGAGGACGACGAGGACGTGGACGAGGACGAGAACGAGGACGAGGGCGGACGCTGAGTGCCGTGGGGCCGAGGAGGCAGAGGAGGAAGAGGCGGCGGGCTGCGGTCGCAGTCGCTGAGGGGGCGACGGGCGATGGGCTGCGAGGACACCATGGGCGGCGGCGGCGCGTCAGCGGTGGCCCAGCGGCGGCGGCGAGGGGGCGGCGGCGCGGACAGGGCGGCGACGGCGCGCCAGCGCCAGCCTGGTGGTGGCGTCGCGGAGGCGGCGGCACGGAGACAACGGCCTGGCGGCGGCGCTTGGCGGCGAAGCCAGCGGCGGGGCCCCCGCGTTGGGCGGCGCGCGGGCGCGGCGCGGCCAGCGCGCGGCGTGGCCCGACCGTTCCGGGGCTCCCCTCAGACTCGGGAGCCTCCGGGGACGCGCTGGACGAGAAGAGGTGGGGGAGGAGGAGGAGGAGGAGGAGGAGGAGGAGGAGGAGGGGGAGGTGGAGGAGGAGGAGGAGAAGGAGGAGGGCGGGAAAGAAGCGGAGCCATAGGAGGTGGAGGCGCAGGATACGATGGTGAGGAGGTTGCGGAGGCGGAGGAGAGGAAGAAGGGAAAAAGGAGGAGGAGGAGGAGGAAGAGGAGGACGACGAGGACGAGGAGGAGGAGGAGGAGGAGGAGGGCTATTGCAAGGCCAAAACTCAACAATGGTGCTACAAGCCCTCCCCCAGCTCACACACGCACGTCACGTGTGTGTGTTGTGTGTGTGTGTGTTGTGTGTTGTCTATTGTGTGTGTGTGTGTTGTGTGTTCTGTGTTCTGTGTGTTGTGTGTTGTGTGTGTGTGTGTGTGTGTTTTGTGTGATTGTTTGTTTGTTTGTGTGTGTTTGCGTGTGTGTGTGTGTGTTTCTTTGCCCGCGTGCACTCGACCCAGCTGTCTCGCGCGCCGTGTATAGGCAATATGTTGACCACGCGGTGCAAGTGTGGCAGTCCATGTGTTACAAGCTGTGGATTGCAAGCTCTGCTTCAGAAGCTCACCACGTCATGCAATACGTGAAGCACAGGTGGTGCACGCGACCTGGGCGGCTAGAGGCCGGGACGTTTCCTCCCCCTCCTCCTCCTCCTCCTCCTCTTTTCCAGGAGTCGCCGCTTCTGCTCCAGGCAGCAAGCGACGGGTTCGGCCGCTCTCCCATTATGGACGGCCCCACTAGACAACCATGAACCCACGGGGCTCCTGGCCAGCCGCCGCGATGGCCCTCCTTGTCCTGTCCATCCTAGTGCACAACCCCTTGCACGCAATCGGGGACAGGCTGTTGGATGTCGTGGCCGAGATACCGAACATACGTGTACTTGGGCTGCCAGGCGCTCAGAGGCGAGCTCCTGCAGATTGTGATTATCAAGTCAGGACGGTGCAACAGAGGTTACGCATTGAAACTGGATGGGCACCAGGAGGTTTCTCGAACAAATCAGCGGGTGTAGCGGCCGTGCTGCCCACAGGCTGGCGACAACAACTCGTTCGTCGAGTCGAGCTACTCCCCCTCCGCTCCAAGGGCGAGGTTTAGCGATTGACGCAGGGAAGGGCGGCATCCAACTTTTTGTTGTTGTGCTGTATTATCCACCCCGCCCGAGCACCTCCACGGGCCTCAGCCAGTATTTCGCTTGCTGTAAGAAACTATGTGAATGGACCTCGGGGCTCCTCCAGAAACTCCCAGATCGAGCGCGCCCTGTTTTACTGGCTGATGCAAACGACGGGATGGGCATCAGCAGGGTGGAGGGGAACTGGGGGGGGAGGTGGAAACGACGGCGGTGGGAAGGGTCAGGACGAGAGAGAAGCACATCGGAGGGGCAGGACATAGATTTCGACAGTTTCTGGAGGCGGCAGATCTTTTCTCCCCGACTACGACAGCGCACTACTCCCCCGCGCTCTTTGGCAGCAGCGGCGGCAGTGACATGATCGACCACATCGGGGTTCCGATGGCGTAGTGCGATTCAATTAAGTGCGCGGCCCCTACTCACAAAATGAGCGGAAGGCTGCAGGTCATTCCCCATCGGGACTCGCGCGATCACCTACCTGTGCTGGTTCGTGTGCTTGTTCCCAGGCAAGGAGGGGGACAGGAGGTTCGAGAGGTCATCTCCCCTGATGGGAAAGAGCGCCAGAAGGTACCTTGGGGCCCAGGTAAACTCATGCAGGGTATCCGTGGAGGCCCCACAAGGGAGGCGTTCGTCAGGGAGGTGGAGGATGAGTTGGATGAGATATGGAAGCAATACGATTCTGATTCTTCGCAGCTCGGTATTCCAGGTGACATTTTAGATAAGCTTGATGAAGTGCTCCGTCGCGCGGGGAGCAAATATTTTCAGCGTGCTGGATTTGGCAGACGCAATGGAGATCCTCACATTCAAGAACGTATTGCTCTGCTTGCTCGTCGTCGCTCGCTTCGCCAGGCCATGCGCGGCACCGCCTCTGCCGAATTCGAGATATGCTGTGAGCGGCTTCGAGAATACACTAAACAATGCAAGACATTATTTCGACGTCGGCGCGAGCAGCGCGATGGGCGCCTGGCGCAGGCGATGTGGGATGCATGGCGATCCCGAGACTTTGCTATCACGCAGCGTCTGACACTTCAACTAGCTGGCGGGAGGTACGGACGGGCTAAACGGCACCTACGAACACTTAACGGCGCCCCACCTACCCCTGAGCAGTGGATGGAGGTGTGGGAGAAGACGGGATGGGAAGGAGGCATGCTAGCACGGGCTGCAGAGTGGCCAGAGTACTGTGCTCATCAGAGCGCAATTTGTGCACGTACAGCGCCTGGTTAATTTTCTGATGGGGAGAGCTGAGCGGTCTTGCTCGCGGGCTCTTCCTGGATCTAGAGCTGATCCAGAATTATTTCGCTCGCGCTCCGAAGCGCTCGGGGGCGCCATCGCGGGCGTTGCCGCTTGAGCTCTGGATCATGTGTATCAACGGCCTCGATCGCAGCAAGAAGCTATGAATGGGGCCGGGGTGGGAGCTGATACCACGACCACGGAGGGGTACTACACGAGACTGTTGCTGCATCGAGTCTTCGCGTCGATTCCGTTTTGGGAAGTCACCCCCAAGCTCTGCGGCATCAGCCGAGGGTTCGCCATCCCCAAAGCTGCTATCCCTGGGCCAAGAGGAAAACGAGTCGCCCATGGGCTTGATCCTCTCAGTAATGGCTTGTACGCTGGACTTTTGAAGGTCGGCCCCAAGTTCGCCCAGTCTGAATGTGATCGCGGATTTCTGCGATTTCGACGGCGTGAAGACGCCATAGTTGCGTGTCTATGTACAGGATGGCGGTTGAACCAGGGGGGCTGCTATTGGTGCGACTCCTTGAAAGATTTATCCAGCGCGTTCGCCTCCCCATCGTGGCAGTCCCTGGATTCAGCGTGCACCTCTCTCGCCCAACCCGAAGATCGCAAATTATGCCGGCAAAGGTATCGCGCCTCTGGATGCATGCTCCCATCGTGCTCAGGTTCTTTCCTGGTTCACCCTGGGTGTGGAGCTCTACAGGGCGACCCGTTTGCAGTGGCCAGCTTTGTTCGCACGTTTAAGCCGCCCGTGGACCGCTGGATTTCGAGATGCCAGCGCGAGGACTCGGGGGGGCAGCTTCTATGGGCCCACTTGCCACTGGCCATGAATCCAGCGTGCAAGGACCTTCCAGTTTATCTTGGACTGCAGAAATTCGCAGGTGACCAGCTGCAAAATATTGTTATTGGAAGAGTGTATAACCCCCGGGGGTTCGGACATCTCCTTGATCGAAACGACGAGACCCTCGATGAGGAGTTGACGTCCATCGGACTCAGACGGAACCAGCAAAAGCAGGAAGCGATCGTGAAAGCCCCCGCTAGCTCTCGGCGAGGCACGGCTGCCATCCTTCGTGCTCGGGGAACTGGAGTGTCTGATGACGTCCGATATCTGGGGCCACGGATCTCGCCCACGCAGTCATTTGGCCCTGAGCTCCTGCGTCGGACCCAGGCCATTAAGACCGCCCTTCTTTCGTTTTAGGGCTTCTGGTTGAAACGAGGCGTACCAGTCAGATGGAAGCGATGCATCCTGCTCTGCCTGTCGGGGGTCGAAGCGTTCGTCCCCGGTGACGTCCAGATCAACGCCCTACAGTTGGCGATCGCGGCTCTCGCTCATAAGGCTATGGGGGGGGGGGGGCTTGCTGGAAGGATGAGGAGGGACATATT